CCGAACAGCCTGCGTTACGAAAAAAAGCCATGACTATGGCAAAATGCCTAAAAAGCTGGAAAGTGGAGCCTGCCGAACACATCACCGAAAACCACAGTGACGGAAACCATGAAGTCATCTATCAGTATCAGTAGAACGCATGGCAGACCTAAATGGGCCCTTCCATGAACGAACTTCTTGGTGGAAAACGCGCAGATAGAAAGCTGGGCAGACCTAATTCTTCAAATGAAGGGCAAAATCAGATCAATTAAACTTAGACCCACTTACAGACTATTAAATAAAAATGGGAGTTCATTGCAACATTCCAGAACATGCGTGTGATGTGCTTTGAGATTCACTAATTCGACACGCAATGTTCGCAATCTGCCCTGATCACAGACTCTCGCGTCGTTACGTAATTTACTGAGGCCCCGGAGTCCCTAGATGAGCAATGTGTAAGAATGTGACGCTAAATTTCGCCCGTCATCGTAACCAAGTGCCTGTCGGCGGCACTGTAATAACACTGCCACGGGTTGGTTTATGCACTTGCCACCTAGGTTTATTCAAGCCCACTTATTAATTTCACTGCAAAATGTAGAATAAATGGCATGACAGAGCATCCGCTTTCCAGCGAAGTAGAACAAGATGATGTTGCTATGCAGCATCATCGCTAATGCCTAAATCATTGCGATACCTATATTGCCTGACATGCTCCTGAGGTTCAAAAAATTGTGTTACACTGATACCTACAAAATAAGGGTACAAGCATGTGGAAATAAAAACGAAATAAGCACCCCACATGACGCGATCATTCGGCAGCATGCCTCCCGGGGCACCGAAAAGACGGTGACCAAGGCCCTACGGTGACTACAACTCTGCACAGGAGATGTGCATTGTGCAGAGCTGCAGTCACGATGTGACAGCTCACTGCACAGAGTTGCACTCCAGAGTTTCCGTGGACTCACATCGTGCACATGCACGGAACACGATGTGAGTCCACACGACAGTCCTTGGAAAGAGTGCCCAAAGATTGAGTGCAGAAAAAAAGAGCTTTCAGATGATACTCGAAAGACGTTGGAGATATATCGACCTTCATAGTCAAAAGGCGAGAAAGTCACTTGTCACTAAGGATGGAAGCAAATTATTAGTATAATTATGCGAGTTTGGACCCATCACCGGTAATTGTGCATCTGATGGCTTGAGAAAAATGTGTTACATTATATAAAGGAAACATTGGTTATGATGTTCTGAACGACCCAGAAGCGATGACGCCAAGTGTTTGGCGATTGGCCTGAGTAGTGAGTACCGTACACGAGTGACTAGTTTAGGATGTAACGAGCATAACCCTGCAGGCCCCGTAATACCGACTGTGCCATACCACCCCACCCCGGATTACAGTAGGGTTACGGGTACTCACCGTGCGTTGGCTGTCATCGGGTAGCACCACCGTCACATGGAACGAGCGCACTTTTCGCGGTCGCGGCGCGCGAATCCTGATCGACTCGCGCGACCCGGTCACTTGGTAGTTGCGGTTGGTCAGCAGCGAGGGTACACGGGTCACCAGAGAGAGGCGGCGCGTGATCTTACGGCCCAGCATCGGCGCTCGGCGCAGAGTCGAGCTGGCCAGCTGGGTCACACGAGTCTCCGTCTTCTCCTTGTTTTTCTCCATAGTGAAGGCTATGGAAAGCACACTACCACGATACTGTTTTGACGGTTTAGTGGCTTAATTAGAGTAGCAAGAACGTAGAATCTTGCGTAGAATATTACACACTTGACCTTCACAAAGCACTACACTCACTTACGGGTAAATCTTCCAGTTTTTAACACTCACTCCACTTAAACCACTAGTGAATACCACCGAAATATGTCCAGCCTTGCACAAGTTCACTATTTACACTAGTTTCCCGATCAGTTTACCGGCGCTTGTCCCTGTCCACTAGCACAGACCACCGCCGGTCTCCATCCCACACATCTACACCATTCTGCACAGATTACAGCCACCTGTCACCGTCAGTCTCGCCAAACCGACAAATCCGCCTAAAACGCACTCCACGCGCGCGTAACCGTCCCCGCCTGGCGCGCGCGGGCTTCTGCTGGAACCGCCGCGCGCGCCGCGCGGAGAGCAGTCAGCTGGCTGGCCCGTCAGCTGGCGCCAGCCGCCCCTCCCCCTCCCTAAGGGAGGAGGGGAGTGGGTGGGGCGCCGTCGACGCTCCGACCAAGATCTCGTGGTGGGAAAAGCCAAAAAAAGCAAAAGGCATGCTAATGGGGGGGGGGGAGGGAGAAGGCAGGAACGACTCGAAATCTAGGCAAAATTGCCCGAAGCAGTAGTAGGGGTATCCAAAATTGCAAAAACGGGTATTATCTACTCGTGAGAGGTGATAACGGAATAAGTTTCGTTGTCCTACGCGTACCTAGCGTTTGTCCGATGACATCAAAGGCGAAACAACTACCCAAATAATAAGTTATTTTGGTATTGTGAAACTGAACACTAAAGCTTCTGACGGATGATTTGCAACTTAATTCGAGCTTATTTCGGAGCAATGCTTAAATACATGGGTTAAGTATGCTACAAGAACTGAGCCTATTTGAAACATGTTTGAGGTCAGGATTAGGTCATAAATTGGGTATTTTTTTTCACCAAAAAATTTAGACGAAATGTGCAGCCTGGTTCATCCAATGCCTACCGTTACACCGTTTCCAATCAGTTACCTATATGCAGCCACGGTAGGTAAGTACATATATAAACGAGTAAACTGACCGCTACAGCACAATAAAAAAAAAAACTAACCGGTAAACCACGCACAGGCAGGGTCGGGTGGTGGGTTCGTCGTGACATCGCAAACAAGTCACAAATAATTATTATTGCTTAGTCCTGCCGACCACTTGACCAGGTCAAGCGTCACCCACTCATCCATTCGCAAAAAAGTCAACCATCCCCTCAACTAATTTTGCAGCTTTTCGGTCAACGACCATTATCCCAAAGGCCACCAGTCCCTCCTTGGCCCCAGTCCATGCTCAAGTTCGTTGGTCCGGAGAATTATTAACCCGCGCCCCGTTGGGCTCTGCCGAGCAACGCGCCCCGTTGGGGGGGGGGGCATTTTGCCCCCCCCCCCTAAGATCTCGAGAACCACGCAACCTAGCGACAAGCGGCAAACGGTGTTGGATAGCCCTATCAGGGAACTACCTTGTGACCCAATTTTATTGACCTAGGTCAAACCGATGACGTCACAGGTCAGGTCAAATGTCCAATTTTCACCGTTTACAGGCATTTCAAGAAATGCGTTGTAAAATCGAGTAAAATGCATTTCATTGAAAATCATCGATGGGGAAATGTTCTTCAAACAGATATTTTGCTATTTGAGGTCACTGATACCAGGTCAGGTCACAGAGGTCAGGTCACGGGGGGTCACAATATGAAAGTGTCGTGTGATACATGTTTTATGGTCCACTTTACATGACAAATGCGATTATGTGGGTCAGGCAGCCTTTAGGGCCAGCTTAGGTCACGTTTTGGTCAATGTCAGGTCAAGGTCAGGTCAAGGTCAGGTCAAATTAGGTCAAATTTCAAAGTTGATATTTTTGCATAAAATGGGTATCGAATCGATGCAGCTCGTCACGGGGAGTTCAACGGTGGTCTTTGTTTTGCCGTACGTGGTCTAATTGAGTTCAAAATTTTGACGTCATCATTTTTGAACAGTTTTTTTTTCGCTATAACTTGGCCAAAAAACGAGATATCGATCTGAAATTTGGTATGTATATAGAAGAGCGCAGGGACTATCACATATATTCCGTTTTTATCGAAATTCGGAAAATGTTTTGATTTTTTTTAGTTTTTCTAAAAAAAATCAATTTTTTGAATTTTTGAGGGTCAAAAACCCAAAATTTTGAGAATCCGAGATAGCAGTTTTGTAGCGCCGCTTTTTGTCTACCAGACCATATAAAGAACTTTGAAATTGCTTGATAACTGTCGATTTGGTGAGTGCGTTTCAAGATTGCATGTTTTTTGCTCATTTTTGCTCGAACATGACCTCAGTTTGACCTCAATAACTACTGACCTAAGGTGACCTAAGACTTGAAATTTGGTATGAAGGTGTCAACTTGATGCCCGGGAAGGTACTGAAAATTTGGCGGCGCTGCGCGCCGCCGTTTTCTTGCTATTCAGGAAAAACCACAGGGGGGGGGGGGGCAAAATGGCCCCCCTCCAACGGGGCGAGGGTTAACGATTCCACCCCTTGCCCTCCCCAATGTGCGCACGATTTGCTTTGCTATCGATATTTACCAATTGTTCGGGAAATATACATTAATGATCTGCATCCTGTAATGCGAAGGACGTATCATATGTTTAATCCATGGAAGAAGTTTTGTCTGTTTTGTAGTCCCTCCTCAGTCTCCCCGAAGAACTCTCGTCCTACATCCCTCTCAAGTCTCAACTACAACTCCATCTAATCCATCCTCTCACAGTCTCACCGCTCGGCCACATCACAACACATCCGGCCTGGCCACGGCGACGCCAGGGGAGGACGGACACTGCCGCGGTCCTCACCGCAGTCCAATTACACAGGACCCTAATGGTGTGAGCGGCCAAACAGCACGCTCCAGTGAGCACCGGGGAACCACGCGGCGGCGTCCAACAGGGAACCGGGAACCAGGGAGCCAGGGAGTCCGGGAGCTAGAGAACCACGGAAGAGAACCACACCCTCAGTACACCGCATCGGTACCAAACGGTCACCAGAAAACCAATCAGTTATGTCCTGCTGGCATCAGTGTTACCGAAACCTCATGGTCCGTGATCGAGCTGAGTACCGGGTGTCACCATTACCATCATCATAATCACCAGGGTGATGCAGCAAGGAAACCAAGGCATCAGTGCCGAATGCAGCGGTATTTTCGACAAGCTTGGGGCATTACTGCGAGGGATACGAACGATCATTGTAGACACTTCAGGCTGAAGTTACAAGATTGGTAAGTCCTGGAGAGAAAAACGTGAACAGATTTCGAGCCCATACAATAAAACCAAAATATTCACTGTAATAATCTATTTATTGTCTCTTTCTATGTGCTCTCAATAACAAATGAACTACACATTTTCTCCACTCACTCGCACGCCCTTCCTAGGTACGCACACATCTGTAAAATACAATAATAAGTTAAAAATAAAGCCAACGCAAAAGCAGGTCATGAGGAGTATTCACCGGCAACAATTCCGGTCATAAAACAACGAAAGATGTCTGTCGTGCAAAGGCTAGAAGAATGCACACAAAAATTATCTCAAAATCCCTCACATGTCGAATATCTACCAAGTTCTTCCGCAACTTACGCCCTTTTACCTTTGCACGACAGACTTTCAGAACCCTTAGAAACGACAGCTGCTGGGCACACAAGAACTTGTACATTCAGCGCGCTGAGAAGGCGCGTGATTGGTCTCTGCCACCGCTCTCGACGCCATCCACTCCCTACGGAGGCAGCCCAGCGCACTCTGTCCCTATCAACATACACGGCAAGCCCTGCATCACTATCGGAGCGCCCCACGACCCCAGCAGGCGGGGGCGAGATTCGCCGTTTGGCAACGAGTGATGCCCAGAGGGCAGTGTGAGACCCCGTAGGGAGGACCAGAAGAGGCTACCAGACAGGTACGAATGGTGACCCTCCCCACTCCAAAAGACCGAGCTGCCACCGAGAGAAAAAGACTACTGAGCATATCACCTACTGGTTCGATAGTGAGAGGCCACAGGATATACACACATACTGGCACGCCTCTCTGATAACAAATAACAAAAACAAAAATACTGTAGACGTAAATATACAATACGCAGAGTCTGGCGCCTCCTACACTGGTTGGATTGCTTCTATGACCACCGGATAAATTAGGTTAGGTCAGAGCCAATAATTGATTTCATGAGAGGATATTTTGAAAAAGAATGCCCAAAAACGAGCATCACAGACTATATCGTTGCCGAAAAATATCATACCAATATTGTCCTATCAATGCAAATCACCAAATATTTGTACGTTACTGAGATGTGCTTAACAATTTAAAAATATGCATTCAATGTTAAATCACCAAACAAGTTCCATTAACATCAAGGTACGGTTCTCGCGAGATTAAGCGGTAGGTTTTGCACTTGTACATTTCCGGTTATATCTCAGGAACTAATCGATCTACGATGAAGCCATTTTACACGATCATGGCCGGCTTGTTACCCAACAAGTCGATCGCATCTTCAACACTTAAAAGCTTAAGACGACGAAGATATAGCCTGAAGTACACTAAATTTTCTAGGTGCAAAACCTACGCTAAAACCCGCGAGACCTGTACTTGGGTAGAAAAGAGGGTACGTGGCCATGAAATATGCTAGCAATTCTTGACACCAACTACTGGCCGCACATATACCAACCAAATAATTTTGCGCGATTCATTAGTTTGCGCCCAAGGTCCCAGTTTCGTCTGCTGGAAGCCTGAAAACAGGGGCGACACCCCGCGGTGCCGATTCGAAACTGCAGTCCAGCCTTCTACCGCGACCAGACGACAAAGCGGGGTCCGCCAGTTCCGACTCGAAGCCCGAGTCGCAAGATTCACTACAATGTCCCACAACCTCCTACACCGAGAGACGCAGCTCGAGAAAAAGACCCACTAAGCTCCATCCACCACTTGCTGCCTGCGTTCCAGATCAGTTCCCTGTCCTGTTCCTAGGCGGCGCCACCGCCGCGGCCGCCCGTTTGTAAACCCTGCCGAGCCGTTCACCGTTATGACCCGCTCACATGGTGGTGATGAGGTCCTTCATCCCGGGCAGCTTCTTCTCATGAACCTTCGAGTGCTTCTTCAGAATCGACGGCTGCGTGAACCTCTTCCCGCACACATCGCACCCAAACGGCCGCTCGCCCGAGTGGGTCAGGTGGTGGCGGCGCAGGTTGAAGCCGTTGGGGAACTCCCGGCCACAGAGGGAGCAGCGGAACTCCTGTTTGACCGGGTGCGGGTGCTGCTGGCGGCAGTGGCGGCGCAGCTCGGTGGCCGTCGTGAACACAAACTCGCAGTGCTTGCAGGCGTTGTCCCCCGCCTCGCTGTGGTACTGCTGTCGGTGCTCCGAGAACAGCGTGAAACACGGGAACGTCAGGCCGCACGGCGCGCACTGCAGCGGCGCCGCCGAGGGGCCCGACCGGGTGTGTGTCTTCAGGTGGTCCTTCTGGCGGAAGGCACGAGTGCAGAACTGGCAGTTGAACGGTTTCACGCCGGCGTGCACTGTGCTGTGTCGCTTCAGGTTGTACTTGTTGCGGAACTGCTTGTGACAGACGCCACACGTGAGCTCGTCGCGGGGTGAACCGTCCGTGCTGCCGGTGGAGCTCTCGTGCAGCTCCACCTCACACTCGAGTCGCTCGCTGGGGTCGTCCGCGGCGGCGGCGGCGGCGGCCGTGTCGTCGCCTGGCTCACGCTTCACCCGGGGCACCACCCGCGAGGCCGCCTGGGCTGGGGGCGGCGGCGGCTGCCGGGGGCGGAGAGGGGGTTTAGTTAGTCAGTGGGCGGCGGGCACCACAGTGAGTGGGTGCGCTGTTCATGACAGGCATGAGCAGAGGTCGAAATATGAAATCGAAATACTGATTTGCAGCGCATTTTGGGATGCAAACTACCTAGGACATCTCTCTACATCTCTCTACCTAGGACAACTAGAACGCGACTGCTCATAGCATGAAAAATCGCGTTCCCCTGCAAAAGATGATGGTTACGGAGCGAGCGAAGCGAGCGTAGTCTTTCCTTAGATTAACGGAAATTTCTGAGTATGAGCGGCCGGCCGGCCGGCCGGCCGTGGTCACGCTTTTGCGAGGCTTATATCTCAGCAACCACTTGACCGATTTACACGCGGTAATTTTTGTAGGGTAGCTTCATTCCTTCTACCAAGTATTGGACTATTCCCGATGCATGTGGGTGACCCCTTATGCACGTGCCACGTGCAAAACGAAGAGGTGTCAATTTTGTAATTGTTGCAATATCTCGGTAACTACTTGGCCGATTGCGCTGAAAGTTGGCATGTAGGTAGGCACCCACTAGGCACTACATATACATGTGCCAGAGTTGGGGTGCTGCTGCACGTGCGCACGTGCAGGGGTCGTTTCCAGATCTCGGGAACGGCTGGACCGATTGCGCTCAAATTTGGTACACGGTTAGGGACCGGTTAGTAGGGTGCCGTGCACAAGTCCGTTGGGACCCATCTTGCACGTGCGCACGTGCAGGGTGCCACTTCCAGATCTCGAGAACGGCTGGGCCGATTGTGCCCAAATTTGGCACATCGCTAGAGACCAGTTAGTAGGGTGCCGTGCACAAGTCAGTTGGAGGTACCCCCTCGCAATTTCGCACGTGCAAAGCCCACCCTCTCGCTCGCTCCGTTAGTCGCCCCAAAAGGCGTTATACTGGTGAATATATCCGAGAATCCCTTTCACTAGAGAAGTTCGTGCTCTAAATGCCTGCCGACGAAAATAGAAACAGGCCTAAATGTGGGGGCAATCAAAAGCTCCAGCAACTTCATTTGATACCAAACTTAATTTATAAGACACTTGAGTCAACATCTTGTCTGCAATTCTTATCGCGTTACAAACTTACAAGACTGACTCTTATCAACTTGACACCTACTTCCACACAGACTGCACGTTGTACACTTATCTAAATCCTCGATTGGCCTTTATTCTCACCTGCAACTGGCCGTACTTTTCGGCCCGGATCTTCATCATGTCGAGGAACTTCCGTTTTATCTCCTCTCGAATCTCAAGAATCTTGGTCTCGTAGGAGTCCAGTGTCATCACTACAGCCGAACACGACATGCAGATAAACTGTGAAGGACAGGTCATATTGAATTATCTACTTCGTAGGCTGTATCAGAACAGACAGACAGGCTTCAAACAAGTGTAAAATCAGTGAATAAATATAAAGGGCTCACTGTCAAAGCACACATTACTGTTACTGGCATGAATCATTCAAAGCTCACGTGCCTCGCAACAATGCAAACCATTATGAAATACAAGTCCGCGCACAAATATAAAACAACACACCATCTATCGAACCCAGTAAGCACCATCCGACATAGCACCCTGTCGCCACCGACCGTTACCTTCATCTGCCAGTGGTGAGCGGCTGCGTGCAGCGAGGTGCCGCAGCCGGGGTGCACCACCGTCTCCAGCTTCTCCGCCAGAGTCTCCTGGGTGCTCGGCAGCCGGAAGCCGTTGATGTCGACACCGGTGGGCGGCTCGGCGGCGCTCGTGATGTACGAGTCACACAGGATGCAGCGCGAGTCTGGGGAGGTGTGCGGAGAGATGGTCTCGCCGTATCCCAGGCAGCCGGCCGGGCCGCCGTGCGACAGGTATGTGCCCAGCTCCTCCATACCGCCCGAGCTGTCGGCAGCGGTCACAGGGGATGTTAGTGATCCGCCAACGGCCGACAGTAATTAAGGAAGTGTCCGCCTTGTGTCCCCGGCCTCACCTCCTCACACTCTACCCTGGAGCACGAATCCTGGTTCAGGTTGCCGGTGGTAGTAAATAATGTTCGATTTTTTAAACAATTTAATTGCTTTTTAGGTCATGAGGCTTTTCCCTGACTGATATTCTAACAAATCAGCTGATAGCGTGTCAGCTAATGAAGCTTTAGCATCGCTGAAAAAGAAGTAAGTAGATCTTTCAAAGCCCATTTCATTATAGGTGTGACATCATATTTGAGTGGTGATATGATCAAATTCACTATTCAGGGCTAGAAATTACATATGTGGCAAAAAATCTGAGCTTAGCTCTATATTTTTATATTTAGTGAATACCTAAGGAAAGTGTCTGAATATTTGCCCAAATATCTGATTGTTGATATAAGGAAAGAAAATACCAGTAGCTTGGTGATAACTGACAAAAGAAAAGAGCTAGTGCATCCAAGAGGTATCTAAAAAGCAAAAGTCAGCACTGAAAAACCAGATTGCTCTAAGATATGCAAAAATATATGTAAATGGTAATGAAATGCTCAGAAATCTTTAATAATACAATAGTTCAGCTGCAATTTGTATTCACTCTGGGCTTAAGTAAGTTGCAACACACTTGGTGGCACTGCTCCCTGCTCAATGCGATGCTGTAAATGAATACCAGGATGTGCCAAGAGAACTTCAGTTTTTGCCTTTTATCAGTAAGAGTAATATCCATGATGATATGACAAGCGCCTTAGCCCTTATCCCACAAAACTTTGAGCCCTTATTTAGCTTATCCTTTTCCTTCCATCTAGACAAATCAGTATTTACTGGTTTAGACAAGTTCCTTGTTTCCTCAAGGATCCAAGCCTCAGAGAAAAAGACAAAGAAGTTTGGCTGATTTGCAGCTTACAATTGAACAGGACAAAGAAAGCAAAAGGCCCTGAACATTTGAACATTTGGGTACACCGTTCCCATAATAAGGAATGCTGGCAGCAACAGTGTATGAAAACATTCCCAAATTTGGGCACGCATCCCAGGCGGTGAACTACTTTAGAAATAGGGGAACGATTTGAAACTGTGCTGGGCTTTACAATATCTTTCTCTATCAATATCAATATCAATAATCAATATCTAACTCTTTCCCAACAATACTGAGACAAATATCAGGCGGTTCATTATCGCTTTATATTTTCAGGATGTCATTTAACGGTTCTTCTTGTTTTAAATAATGCCTACAATGACATAGCATTCCCCTATATGGGCTGTACTATTTACTGGACAATTTGCCAGCTAGTGCTGTATGGTAGTGCTAGCAGAGCTAGTTGTATATCAATGCCAGATACAAATAACTAAATATCCATCTTTAAATTTTTCTATGAGTGCCATTTTACGTGTTCATGTTCATATCCTACAGTGTTTATATCAATAAATAACATAGCTATTGTACGTCACCAGCTGGCCAGCCATCTGACTTTATCCAGTTGTTAGTAAGGCCCACGAAAATGCGCTCCCTAGAATGGGCATACTTCCGCCTACTGATTATGTATCTATTTTCTTTTGTTTCTCGTTCGCTGCATTACCCAGATCCCTCTTTACTTTTTCCCGAATTTGTCCTTTATAACCCCACTGTCCCTTTTAGCCCCGTTTTACGGTACCTAATCAAAATATATTAGATAGGCTCAAGGCTGTTGATTTTACTTTGACTTTGAGCTGGTATTGAGACATGCATCAATCAGCAATTGATTTAATATGTAAAGGAACGCTACTTCATTAATAGCAGTAACTTACCGGTTCTATTTATCATTCAGGACAAGAAACTGTATAATAACACCACCATATATTGAGATAAATCGAGATGTTTTGGTTCTTTTATTTCGGCGAGAAATGATCTCGTACAATAATAAATACAAATGCGACGCAAGAGGCAAAAGGTACGAGTACCGCTATTTAGCTACCATATCCTTTACTGTACCGAAAATTTTACCAAAAATGCTCTCGAACTATAACGTCCATCAATTGAGCAGCAGATTGATATTCGCGAATATCAAACTAAAAATTCGATATTCGGACGGGGAACGCAATAACTCAAGAACCAGTGAACCGATTTTGATGAAAATGCCCTTATTCGATTCCTCGTTCCTTATTGCAGGTTGACAGCGATTTCCAGGTCACTAGGTCATGACCTTCAAGGTCAAGATCAAGGTCAAAGGACGGGGAACGCTCTACAGCCTAAAGTTACCGTCCGATTAGCTTTTAAATGGTCTCAATCGATTCCTCGACCCCGATTCCAGCTTGACAGCGATTTCCAGGTCACTAGGTCATGACCTTCAAGGTCAAGGTCAAGGTCAAAGGACGGGGAACGCTCTACAGCCTAAAGTTACCGTCCGATTGGCTTGTAAATGGTCTCAATCGATTCCTCGACCCCGATTCCAGCTTAACAGCGATTTCCAGGTCACTAGGTCATGACCTTCAAGGTCAAGGTCAAGGTCAAAGGACGGGGAACGCTCTACAGCCTGAAGTTATCGTCCGATTGGCTTGTAAATGGTCTCAATCGATTCCTCGACCCCGATTCCAGCTTGACAACGATTTCCAGGTCACTAGGTCATGACCTTCAAGGTCAAGGTCAAGGTTCGCGAATATCAAACTAAAAATTCGATATTCGGACGGGGAACGCAATAACTCAAGAACCAGTGAACCGATTTTGATGAAAAGACCCTCACTCGATTCCTTGTTCCTCATTGCAGGTTGACAGCGATTTCCAGGTCACTAGGTCATGACCTTCAAGGTCAAGGTCAAGGTCAAAGGACGGGGAACGCTCTACAGCCTAAAGTTACCGTCCGATTGGCTTGTAAATGGTCTCAATCGATTCCTCGACCCCGATTCCAGCTTGACAGCGATTTCCAGGTCACTAGGTCATGACCTTCAAGGTCAAGGTCAAGGTCAAAGGACGGGGAACGCTCTACAGCCTAAAGTTACCATCCGATTGGCTTGTAAATGGTCTCAATCGATTCCTCGACCCCGATTCCAGGTTGCCAGCGATTTCCAGGTCACTAGGTCATGACCTTCAAGGTCAAGGTCAAGGTCAAAGGACGGGGAACGCTCTACAGCCTAAAGTTACCGTCCGATTGGCTTGTAAATGGTCTCAATCGATTCCTCTACCCCGATTCCAGCTTGACAGCGATTTCCAGGTCACTAGGTCATGACCTTCAAGGTCAAGGTCAAGGTCAAAGGACGGGGAACGCTCTACAGCCTAAAGTTGCCGTCCGATTGGCTTGTAAATGGTCTCAATCGATTCCTCGACCCCGATTCCAGGTTGACAGCGATTTCCAGGTCAATAGGTCATGACCTTCAAGGTCAAGGTCAAGGTCAAAGGACGGGGAACGCTCTACAGCCTAAAGTTACCATCCGATTGGCTTGTAAATGGTCTCAATCGATTCCTCGACCCCGATTCCAGCTTGACAGCGACTTCCAGGTCACTAGGTCATGACCTTCAAGGTCAAGGTCAAGGTCAAAGGACGGGGAACGCTCTACAGCCTAAAGTTACCGTCCGATTGGCTTGTAAATGGTCTCAATCGATTCCTCGACCCCGATTCCACCTTGACAGCGTTTACCAGGTCACTAGGTCATGACCTTCAAGGTCAAGGTCAAGGTTCGCGAATATCAAACTAAAAATTCGATATTCGGACGGGGAACGCAATAACTCAAGAACCAGTGAACCGATTTTGATGAAAAGACCCTCATTCGATTCCCTGTTCCTCATTGCAGGTTGACAGCGATTTCCAGGTCACTAGGTCATGACCTTCAAGGTCAAGGTCAAGGTCAAAGGACGGGGAACGCTCTACAGCCTAAAGTTACCGTCCGATTGGCTTGTAAATGGTCTCAATCGATTCCTCGACCCCAATTCCAGCTTGACAGCGATTTCCAGGTCACTAGGTCATGACCTTCAAGGTCAAGGTCAAGGTCAAAGGACGGGGAACGCTCTACAGCCTAAAGTAACCGTCCGATTGGCTTGTAAATGGTCTCAATCGATTCCTCGACCGCGATTCCAGCTTGACAGCGATTTCCAGGTCACTAGGTCATGACCTTCAAGGTCAAGGTCAAGGTCAAAGGACGGGGAACGCTCTACAGCCTGAAGTTATCGTCCGATTGGCTTGTAAATGGTCTCAATCGATTCCTCGACCCCGATTCCAGCTTGACAGCGATTTCCAGGTCACTAGGTCCTGACCTTCAAGGTCAAGGTCAAGGTCAAAGGACGGGGAACGCTCTACAGCCTAAAGTTACCGTCCGATTGGCTTGTAAATGGTCTCAATCGATTCCTCGACCCCGATTCCAGCTTGACAGCGATTTCCAGGTCACTTGGTCATGACCTTCAAGGTTAAGGTCAAGGTCAAAGGACGGGGAACGCTCTACAGCCTAAAGTTACCGTCCGATTGGCTTATAAATGGTCTCAATCGATTCCTCGACCCCGATTCCAGCTTCACAGCGATTTCCAGGTCACTAGGTCATGACCTTCAAGGTCAAGGTCAAGGTCAAAGGACGGGGAACGCTCTACAGCCTAAAGTTACCGTCCGATTGGCTTGTAAATGGTCTCAATCGATTCCTCGACCCCGATTCCAGCTTGACAGCGATTTCCAGGTCACTCGGTCATGACCTTCAAGGTCAAGGTCAAGGTCAAAGGACGGGGAACGCTCTACAGCCTAAAGTTACCATCCGATTGGCTTGTAAATGGTCTCAATCGATTCCTCGACCCCGATTCCAGTTTAAAAGCGATTTCCAGGTCACTAGGTCATGACCTTCAAGGTCAAGGTCAAGGTCAAAGGACGGGGAACGCTCTACAGCCTAAAGTTACCATCCGATTGGCTTGTAAATGGTCTCAATCGATTCCTCGACCCCGATTCCAGGTTGACAGCGATTTCCAGGTCACTAGGTCATGACCTTCAAGGTCAAGGTCAAGGTCAAAGGACGGGGAACGCTCTACAGCCCAAAGTTACCGTCCGATTGGCTTGTCCGATTGGCTTGACCTAGTGACCTGGAAATCGCTGTCAAGCTGGAATCGGGGTCGAGGAATCGATTGAGACCATTTACAAGCCAATCGGACGGTAACTTTAGGCTGTAGAGCGTTCCCCGTCCTTTGACCTTGACCTTGACCTTGAAGGTCATGACCTAGTGACCTGGAAATCGCTGTCAACCTGGAATCGGGGTCGAGGAATCGATTGAGACCATTTACAAGCCAATCGGATGGTAACTTTAGGCTGTAGAGCGTTCCCCGTCCTTTGACCTTGACCTTGACCTTGAAGGTCATGACCTAGTGACCTGGAAATCGCTGTCAAGCTGGAATCGGGGTCGAGGAATCGATTGAGACCATTTACAAGCCAATCGGACGGTAACTTTAGGCTGTAGAGCGTTCCCCGTCCTTTGACCTTGATCTTGACCTTGAAGGTCATGACCTAGTGACCTGGAAAACGCTGTCAAGCTGGAATCGGGGTCGAGGAATCGATTGAGACCATTTACAAGCCAATCGGACGGTAACTTTAGGCTGTAGAGCGTTCCCCGTCCTTTGACCTTGACCTTGACCTTGAAGGTCATGACCTAGTGACCTGGAAATCGCTGTCAACCTGCAATGAGGAACAAGGAATCGAGTGAGGGTCTTTTCATCAAAATCGGTTCACTGATTCTTGAGTTATTGCGTTCCCCGTCCGAATATCGAATTTTTAGTTTGATATTCGCGAACCTTGACCTTGACCTTGAAGGTCATGACCTAGTGACCTGGTAATCGCTGTCAAGCTGGAATCGGGGTAGAGGAATCGATTGAGACCATTTACAAGCCAATCGGACTGTAACTTTAGGCTGTAGAGCGTTCCCCGTCCTTTGACCTTGACCTTGACCTTGAAGGTCATGACCTAGTGACCTGGAAATCGATGTCAACATGGAATCGGGGTCGAGGAATCGATTGAGACCATTTACAAGCCAATCGGATGGTAACTTTAGGCTGTAGAGCGTTCCCCGTCCTTTGACCTTGACCTTGACCTTGAAGGTCATGACCTAGTGACCTGGAAATCGCTGTCAAGCTGGAATCGGGGTCGAGGAATCGATTGAGACCATTTACAAGCCAATCGGATGGTAACTTTAGGCTGTAGAGCGTTCCCCGTCCTTTGACCTTGACCTTGACCTTGAAGGTCATGACCTAGTGACCTGGAAATCGCTGTCAACCTGGAATCGGGGTCGAGGAATCGATTGAGACCATTTACAAGCCAATCGGACGGTAACTTTAGGCTGTAGAGCGTTCCCCGTCCTTTGACCTTGACCTTGACCTTGAAGGTCATGACCTAGTGACCTGGAAATCGCTGTCAACCTGCAATGAGGAACAAGGAATCGAGTGAGGGTCTTTTCATCAAAATCGGTTCACTGGTTCTTGAGTTATTGCGTTCCCCGTCCGAATATCGGATTTTTAGTTTGATATTCGCGAACCTTGACCTTGACCTTGAAGGTCATGACCTAGTGACCTGGTAATCGCTGTCAAGCTGGAATCGGGGTCGAGGAATCGATTGAGACCATTTACAAGCCAATCGGACGGTAACTTTAGGCTGTAGAGCGTTCCCCGTCCTTTGACCTTGACCTTGACCTTGAAGGTCATGACCTAGTGACCTGGAAATCGCTGTAAAGCTGGAATCGGGGTCGAGGAATCGATTGAGACCATTTATAAGCCAATCGGACGGTAACTTTAGGCTGTAGAGCGTTCCCCGTCCTTTGACCTTGACCTTGACCTTGAAGGTCATGACCTAGTGACCTGGAAATCGCTGTCAAGCTGGGATCGGGGTCGAGGAATCGATTGAGACCATTTACAAGCCAATCGGACGGTAACTTTAGGCTGTAGAGCGTTCCCCGTCCTTTGACCTTGACCTTGACCTTGAAGGTCATGACCTAGTGACC